TTCTTCCTCCCTCTCTTCTGTAAGCCTGGTTGTTGATTGACCTCCTTTTAGCAATAGTCCTACATTGAGGCAGCAATGTGGATTGATGCTGCCCCCACACTTCATGTGCCATCCGGAGGCAGGTGTACTCATCCAGTGAGGGCTCCTGCCAGAGAGAGGTGAGGAGCAAACCCATTGTTGAAACACTGAGTCTGAGGAGATGAGATGGAGGTATGTCCCAAAACTGATAAACCTCTAGCTGGTCTGATAAAGAAAAAAGACACAAATTATCAATGTCAGTGAACATCACTACAGATTGTACAGACATTAAAAGGATATTAAGAGAACAACATAAGTCACTTCGTGCCAGTAAATTCAGTAACTTAGGTGAAACATCTATCTTGAAAGACATAAATTAACTATACTGACTGGAGAAGAAATAGAAAATCTGTATAGTTCTATAACTAAAATCTTTTCCCAAAGAAAACTTCAGGCCAAGATCGCTTCACTGAAGTCTTATTGAATATTTAAGGAAGAAATAATACCAATTCTACACAGCTCTAATTTTATTTGTAACAGTTTTGTCCCTAATAAAAAGGATTTCAAACATTAGGGAACAGGTCAGTCAAACTTTGTCCTGAGCAGGGCTATATTTGAGAACCCCTGAAATCCTGCCTCAAAGGCTTCTTCCTCCTGAAGGTTCTGTGGGGAGGTGAGGGCAGGGGTGCAAGACATGGAGATGTGGGCAGTGGTCAAAAATGTGGGAGTGCCTCCATTAATAGGCAGGTAGGCTAAGGGGAGGGCCCCAGCCCAGGCTATGACTCTGCTGCTCTGCAGCCACCAGCGTTCCTGAGTTTGACTCTTCTGGAGTTGGTGGAGAGGGTAGCAGTTTCTGGTGGAAAATTGGTAGAGTTTCTGAAGGCCTCCTAGCCCAGGCTTTGGGCTAGGCCTTGAGATGCTCTAGGAGATGTCCCCTGCTGAGAGGTTCTTGAAGGGGTAGTAAAGCCTACATGTGAATAGGAGTGGCCACAGGCCTGTGCCCTGGGCCTACAGTCAGACCCTAATATGCACTGGGAAGGCCCAGAGGATTCCTTTGCCTGGGAATCTTAGAAGGCTGCCTGAGGAGGTGGCCTTTGAGCTGGCCTCTAGGACTGGCCAGATGGTGTGTTTTCTTGGGGGTTATCAGAGTAGATATTTCAGGATTTGAGACAAAATGTGGGGTGTAAGAGTGTTCTGGACAGAGGCCAGTGTGAAAGAAGCATGGGATGGTGATGGGGCATTGGGAGATGACCTCCTCTGGTGAGGCAGCTGTGAGGTTGAGGTGAATGGCTGTTGTCCTGGGGGTGTGGAAAGCTTTGAGCAGAAGTGCAGTGTGATCTGACCAGTGTCTTTGGAGAGGAGGCCGGGAATGTGGATTGATAAGATGGAGAGAGACTTAGGGGAGATAAATTAGAAAAAGAGAGGGAAAATGCAGGAGGCAGCTGTATTCTCAAGAGTAGAGGGGAAGCCCAGCTGGCAGGCAAGAGTGGAGGGGAATGGCTGGGGGCTTGGTTGTGATGGGGCCCTAAGGAGGTGGTAGAGGAGACTGGGGATTGGGAAGGAGAGAGAAGATGGTGAGATTTGGGAAGGATGGGGAGTGGGGAGTGGGGGTGGAGAGGCATTGAGTCTGGTTTTGAGGGTCTCAGGGTGAGTGAAGTCTCTAGATTCCTGGGGAGGCTGTGCACCTAGGACCCTGCCTGCTTTCCTGCTGAGTGTCCAGCAGGGCATCAGCTTGGACTTGGGCTGGCTGTGGCTGCATGTGAGCACACGGGGCCAGGTCTGAACTGTGTGGGGAGCACAGGAGAGGCAGGTGGAATCAGAGCTCTTTAGAAACTCAGTGCCACTCTTCCATTCTTGAGAGCCTCTCTCTCTCTCTCTCTCATCTCCTTGGCAAGAATGCAGGGCCGGGCATCAGGACGATTTGGATCCAGACTTGCAGCTACCACTGATGGGTTCTCTGACTTTGGATAAATCTTTTCCTTTTCCCTGACTGCCATTTCCCAGGTTTTCCCAAGGGTTAAATTGAGAACCTAGAATGGGTGATCCTGCGAGCCCTCCAGGGCTGAGGCTCTTTGAGTCTCTCAGGGAGTGGTGAGCTTCAAGACTGGTCTGCACTTCCCTCCACTATCCCAGGCAGCAAGGGGCCACACCTTGTGATTCAGGCCAGTGTCACCAAAAGCGATTTTCCTTCCCATGAATGCCCATTGTCCTATCTGAGAATCACTCTTTGTGAGGAAGACGGGGGCCCACATCATCTCCCCCACTTACGTGGCCTGTGCATTTGTTCACCTGCTGCTGCCACAGCTGTGGATCTTTATCTTTTCTGAGCCCCTGCTCTTTGCACCCAGGCTGGGGTCATTTTTAACCTCATGCTGCCTGCAGACCTAGTGCTGTACCCCACCCACCAGATTGCTGGGCATTTTTTTAAAAAGTCATTTAGATTGTTGGGTGTTTTCTTATTTATTAATGAATAACTTGGCTTTTACTGAGGCACTTGAATGTCTCTGGGACTCCAGGAGGGTGGTGGCAGCTGTTTGACCTTGCTTGAGAGCTGAGAAAGGGCATCGTATTTGCAAAGCACTCCTCCCAAAGGCTGGACACTTGCCTGTAGTTCCCACCTGCTTCTGCCATGTGGTTCAGGTTAATGGAACCCCTGTGGAAAGGAGTCTTCTTGTGTGGCTGGGGGTCTTGCCCCCACCAGCCCACTGTGGGGAAAGCAGAGCCCTTTCTGCTTTTCCTTCTCTGCCCTTACCCAGAGGGCAGGTATCTGCCACTCCTCCCCCTGAGGCAAGCACTTCAGGGAGTGGCCTTCAGGGTGTCCACTGGTTGGGAGTCGGGAAGGAATTTTTTGCTAGAATATTCGGGCTCTGGTTTGTTTTATCTGTTAGCCTTTAGTCAAGGAGGGCTGCAGGTGTCAGCAGGGCCCCTGTGGAAGCCCCATCCAGGTTCCAGCAGCCCTGGGAGCCATTTGGAGAATCCTGACTTATTTCTGTGAAGCATTTGTACTCTGTTCTCCCTTCCCTCTTGGGCCATCACCAAGCATCTTGCCCAGCAGAGGTCGGTGGACTCTTCCCCAGTGTCTCCTCTGTTTGTCCATTGCCTAAGAACACTGGCCAGCGCCCTCTGTGTTCAGCCCTTGCCTGCCTTGACCGTCTTACCTGTCAGTCATCGTCACCCCTCCCCCAACCCCAGTCACCTGCAGGCTCCTCAGACCACACCCTGCCTTTGTTCAAACTCTGCCCTTCCCACTCCTATTCCCCTATCCTGTGTCACCCAATTCTGCCCAGCCCATCTCTCACCCATCCCCCGAGAACCATGCTCCATGTTGACCTCTCTCATGTAGCTGCTGTCACTTGGTCAGTTATTTTGTTCCTGCTGCCTCTTTGCCATGAGATGAGCTGCCCTGAATTGGGTCAGTGGGCATCTTGATCTGTTCACATGACAAAAGCCTTACTCTGGGCCAGGCCTCCAATCTGGTTTTGGTAGCCTGCTCCCCGGAGATTGCGTGGCCAAGGAATGGCGGTCTCTGGTCGATGCTTGCAGTCTCCACATAAAGCAGATGCCACTCTTAGTAACGAAGTTGTCAACGGCATAAATAAACGTCTAGGAAAGGCAGTTTGAACAGCTGTTTTACTTAGAATTTCTTTTTTTTTTTTTTTTAAAGATGGGGTTTCTCCCTGATGGCCAGGCTGGTCTTGAACTCCTGACCTCAGGTGATCCACCCACCTTGGCCTCCTAAAGTGCTAGGATTACAGGTGTGAACCACTGCGCCCGGCCGCTTAGAATTTCTATGCAAACTCCAGCTCATTCTATGTCCATCAGAGCAGGCTCCCTGTGGAAGGAGCTCATAAATCTCTCAGAACAATGCCCTGTGAGAGTTGAAGGCAGGGCGCTGCCATAGTGAAGTGAGCATTGTCACCTTCTGGAGGGCCAACCCTGGCATGCAGTGAGACCCCCACAACGGCTCTGTCCTGGGGCCTCTCAGTACATGCCCTGGGCCTAAGGCGTGTTCACATGAATTGAGCGTGCACACACACGCCCTGTGTCAGTTTGACCACGGCAGGCTGACCTAACAGTGGTAATCACATAATAAGGGAGGAAGTCTAGGAAGACATTTTCTGCTGCAGGTGAAAGCAGTATGGTAATTTCCTTCTATTGTGGCCCTCAGGGCACCTGAGAACAAGAATGACAGATCAAGGTTGAGATGAACATGATTCTCTGGACTTAAGAGATGCAGTTGGTAGGAAGTTAAAAGAACCAGATTAAGAAAATTTTCATGGAAACACGAATTCCCCTTACCTCTGTCTCCCTGAATATAGCACAGGCCTGGGCAGTGAGTCTTGTTATAAGCCTGGTCCTAGTTCATGTTATTTCTATTTTTTTTTTTTTTTTGGCCAATCAGTTTGAGCTTATAAGGTTGCTCAGGTTAACCTTGAACTCATGACCTCGCCTTCGCAAGCGCCACGACCTCCGGCCGGAGCCACTTTGGACCCCCATGTTATTTCTAAAGCAAACCAAACAGGTATTTCTGGAGAGGCCTCTGACCTGAAAGGTGTCTCAGGAGGCCTGAGCTCTCATCCTGCCCTGGTTGCTGGTTCTTCTTTTCCCTGTCTTTCCAAGTTTAGCAGGTGGTTCCATCCAGACCCATGAAGGTGAGTGGTGGCCTGCCAGCATGGCCCCTCCATGGCACCAAGTGGCTGCATTTCTCACCACCTAAAGCCATCCAGCTCTTTCTGCTAGTGTTCTCTGAGAGCCACCATGTACTGGGACTGGGCTGGAGTCAGGGATTTTAAATTCCACACAGGCAGTGAGGCTCCAGCTGTGCTGTGAGATGCAGCAGGTGTGTACCCTGCGTGGAGTCTAGGACACCAAGCTGGGCTGTGCCAGGTGCCTGGTTTCTGAGATGTCCTGATTGTTAGCTCCCTAGGCTGTGTGGACTGGAAGTAGGAGCTTTCAACTGAGCTGGTTTTCTCCCTTTGCAGGACAAGGAAGATGGGGAGCCAAAGACCAAGCAACTTAGAGAAGAGGAGGAAGAAGGCGAGAAGCACAGGTAATGCCCATGTGCAGCTCCAGGCTCTGCCCTCTACTCCAGCACTCATCAGTCTCCCAGTCTCTGGGTCCTCTCAACTCTTCAGTCTCTGCCCTGTTCCCTCCCCTCTTCTCCCTGCCTATGGCTGCCTTGTTCAGACTTTAAAATCTCAACTCTCGGCCGGGCGCAGTGGCTCACGCCTGTAATCCCAGCACTTTGGGAGACCGAGGCAGGTGGATCATGAGGTCAAGAGATTGAGACCATCCTGGTCAACATGATGAAACCCCATCTCTACTAAAAATACAAAAAAAAAAAAAAAAAAAAAAAAAATTAGCTGGGCATGGTGGTGGTGTGTGCCTGTAGTCCCAGCTAATCAGGAGGCTGAGGCAGGAGAATTGCCTGAACTCAGGAGGCGGAGGTTGCAGGGAGCCGAGATCGCGCCATTGCACTCCAGCCTGGGTAACGAGCAAAACTCCATCTCAAAAAAAAAAAAATCTAAACTCTCTCCTTCTGAGGCCTTCTCTCCCTCCTTCCCCTCATTTTCCATCTGACTGTTACTCAGCCCCCAGCAGTTTCTTTTTAGTCCTTACATTATGCCTTTTTACCATTCTCACACACCTTTCATGACGTGGTTCTCCATTCCTTGCTAACTTTGTTACCTTTCTGTACCTGGTTTGTGAAGCTCTGCCTGGGCCATCTGGCCTCATCCATCCTCTTCTAGTTTCCCTCTAGCCAGAGCCCTCTGTGGTCAGCCCTTGCCACCCCTGGCCATCAGCATTTCCTGACCTGCCTTTTGTCCATCCTCTCAGTCTGGAGGTCCTTCTCCTCTCCTATACTTTTGACATCTGGGTCTTCATGTAGAGTTCGGGTCAGAGGGCGCCTTTGTCATTGTCTGTGCCCTGCCCTCTGGCTTCACTTCCCTCTGTAGTATTTATCTTATTTTGCCAAATACCGTCATCTGGTTGAGTCCACTTAAGTTGCCTACACACAGCACACATGAGGGTCTTGGGTACCCATCCCTCATGATTGTAAGCACAAGGTCTTCTCCCACAGTCTTGAGGGCTGCAACCTCCACAGAGCTTTGGATGCTGCTTTGCCTCCCAAACACCTGGAGCCTGGGAACTGTTGCAGGAACCAGTGTGTGGGGTGGGGTGGGGCGGGGCAGAGCTGTGCCGCTTATCTTTGTGAGCAGAGTGTCTGACTGCCAATTCCATGTCAGCAGTTCCAGAGGTCTCATGTGCTTCCTCCCATGCCCAGCCCTGAGCTGGGGCTCTCTTCCTGGGCTCAGACTGTGTGTCTTTCTGGATAGGTTCCCTTGATTTCCTTTGCTCTGAGCTTCCTTCAGGCACAGGGGTGTAGATCTTCATGCGCCAGGGCTCTGCTTTGCAGAGGGGCAGCAGTAGGGGAGGACTGCTCTTTAGAGGAAGCTGGGCAGTCACACCAGAGCAGGCTTTCCTAATGCCACAGGCTTTTTTCACCTTCACCAGTATAAGTAGAACCTCCTCACATGCAGGCCTCATCTCTGCCTTTGTAATCAGGAGCAGACTGCAGACACCATTTACAAAGTGCTTTCACACCATCCCGAGAGCCCTGCAGAGTTCATGGCCCCTGCTTGGGCTCAGACATGCGACTCGCTCTATGCTGAGAGGCTGGTGGTGCTAAACGGTGAGTGGGTCTGCTGGTGCTGGGCCTGGGGCTTTTTGTTGGGCCCTAGTCCTCATCTCTTGAAGGTCCCTGGCTGGTGATGGGAAGATGAAGGCCAGTTAGTTCCTCCTTTGCCATGTGACCCCAACATGTGTGGCTTTATGGGTGGGTGCTGGCACAGTTTCCCCCAATCTGTGGTAACTACGTGTTAGAGGCCCCTTGGTCTTCTGGTTTGTTCTTAGGTTCCTAAAGTCTAGAACTCTGGTTGGAGCCTGAGTTCCAGTTTCTAGGCTTTGATGTGTTAGTGTTTTTTTCTCTGATCTCCCTCCTCCTCCTCCTCCCTGAGAAAGAGGGCTCACTGGTTAGCAGGTGGGTGGGTCCATACAGCGGTAAGAGGCTTGAATGTTGAGCCGTGTGGTTGTGAATCTCAAATGTGATGTTAAGTGATGGAAAAAGCAGGTTTCAGAATTGAGGCATACAGGGCAGGAACACAAAATGATATATGTGCGTTACTCAGTCAACAAGTACTGACTGTTGGTCGTCTGCTCTGTGCAGGGCATCATTGTGGGCCCCTGGAAGGCAACAGCGGACAGAGTACAGCCCCTACCCTCATGGAGCTGACATTTTCTGGAGGGAGACAGGCTGTTAACAAAGAAGCAGGTGTGTGATAAGACGTCAGGTGCTCCCAAGAACGCGAAAGCAGAAGTGTAAATACGTGCATGAGGAGTGATGCCTTTTATTCATGCCTAGGGAAGCAGGGAGGACACAGGATTGGGGAAAGGCTCTATGATGTGTGGTTTGTTTGTTTTTATTCTTTTTTTGAGATGGGGTCTCACTCTGTCACCAAGGCTGGAGTACAGTGGCGCTATCTCAGCTCACCGCAACCTCAACCTCTCAGGCTCAAGCAATCTTCCCATCTCAGCCTCCCAAGAAGCTGGGACCACAGGTGCACACCACCATGCCCAGCTAACTTTTTGGCACCAAAACAACACAGTTTCACCAGATTGCCCAGGCCGGTCTCGAACTTCTGAGCTCAGACAATCCACCTATCTCGGTTTCCCAAAGTGTCGGAATTCTAGGTGTAAGCCACTGCGCCTGGCCAATGATGTGTGATTTTGTTTTAACAAAAGAAAAAAGGAGGGGGACAAAGCTCTCTTAAATATGGCAAAATGTTGCTTTTATTGACTCTTCAGGAGGTGAGTACCTGGGTTAGGTTGTTCTCTGAACTTTTCTGTGTGCCCAGGATATATCATAATGAACACAGCGTGGAAAAAAACAAAGGGCACGTGTAGTTCCAGGTTCCTGTCGGTGAGTTGTAGATAAAAGAGGCCCTGGCTCCTGAGGACCTGCTCCCTGCCAGGTCTTACAGATCAGTTGTAGTGGAGCACAAGACCTGCTCATAGGCCTTGTCCTGAGCCCACTGAGCTGGGCAGGTGCTGAGCCCTGTTCTGTTTTCTCACCGCAGCCCAGGGACCGACCATGCTAGACATTTTGGGTTCTGCTTCAGGTCATCATATTCTTCTGCTTTACTCTAATCTGGCTTCTTCTGGGGCAATGCAGCGTGGTGGAATGGGTTTGCCTCCCAATAGTTGGGAGCTTGGCTTGCGGGGCTGAACTTCTAGAGACTTTGGGCAGGTGGACTTCTAGCATCCCTCTCCTGGTAGGGCCTGCTACTTAGGTCGCTCCCTTGGTTGCCAGGAAGCCTAGTCTTAGCGAGGAGTTGTGCCTGTGTCTGTAGGCCCCAGAGAAAAACAGACTCTTCTGACTTTAACAGATGCAGAGCAGAGGGCTTGCTCAGGTTACTTAGGAAGGCAGATTAGAACATTGGTTGCCCTAACACAGGGCCAGACCCATGTGGACTCCACTTTAGACTGCAGGGTCCAGGGCTGGGCATGAGGGCTTCCCAGGAAGAGCAAGATGCAGCAGAGGCTGTGTCTATCCAGGGAGGAGGATGTTGCTTTTTGTTTGTACCCAGGTCTGGGAAGGGGTTCTCATGCAGGGTGCTTATGGATTGGGAGCTGATTCTAGAGAGCCTCCTAGGCTACAGCCCCTGCCACAGCCTCTTTTGCCCCTGGAGAGAAAGAGGTGACCTTCCACTCCATTGGAAGGATGACTTCTGAGGACATTTGCCAGCGAGCGTCCCTCTTCCTCGGCTGCTGGGAGGTGAGAACAGCCCACTTCAGTCAGGGTCACTCTAGGTTGAGCCCAGGTGCCAGGGGGGACACCTTGCTGGCATCAGCCTTTCTGAAGTGTGCTGAGAGGAGCATGGTGCCCGCTCTAGGCTGCCTTCAGCTAACACCGTCCTGCTTTCAGTGGGACAAGGCCTCGTGGAGAACCTGCCTTTTAAGTCTGGAATCCAGAGGATAGGGTTTGGGCAGCAAAGGTCCAGAGGCATGAATCTGTAAAGGGTGGGTGGTATAGCCTCTTGTTGGGGAGGCATGAATGGACATCACCCCAACTCTTTCTTAATACAGTGTCCCTGGGAGCCCCTTCCAGTCTGACCCCCTCACCATCTCAGGAGTGACGCCAAGGAAGTTACACAGATCTACATCCGAGACCCAGGGCCCAGTCTGGATGGGAAAGGCTGAGTTGTCTCTGATGCTCTCCTGATTCAGGCTCTACAGAGAGATGGAGGGGGCACCCTCCTCTTTCCCTTCCTCCCTGGTTTCTCCTCTTATGCCCTGACCAGGATTCCTCCCTGAGTCATTCCATCCCACACTGCCATTCAACTCTGAATTTGAATGACTGGGTGATCCCAGAGCCTGCTGCCTGTGAGTGCCTCGGCTCCCTATGTCCCATTAGCTGGCAGAGAGCAGAGTCCATCTTCCTCAGTTACCCAGGTCACCCAGTGTCCCTTGCAGAGGCCTGGTGGTCAGTTCCATATATTGATGTAGCTAGTTCATCATCTTAAAAATTTTTTTTTTTTTTAATTTAGAGACTTAGGGAAAGAACACATGATGAAAAGATTCTTGGTCCAGCAGTAGTCCCTGAAATGAAAGGACCCAGACAGATGGAGCAAGGTCAGGCTTTGGAAGTGGTTCCTGGGTTTGAGGCCATGCCCTGCCAATTATTAATTCTCTAACCCTAGGCAAGTCACATTGCCTCAGTGAGCCTCAGTATCTTCAACCAAAGATGGACAAAATAAAAATAAAGCTTGCCTCACTTGATGAACAGAGCAGATGCCATACTTGCTTCCCAGCTAGTGCTGAGGCTCTGGGCAGAAGGAAGGTACTGTGAGGCCCTCCCGAGAGAGTTCAAGGACTCTGGACATGCCTCAAAAAGACAGAATTAACTTTTACATAAAGCATGTGCCAACTTTGCAAATAAGACAACAGTTGGGGGAAATGTGAGGCAGTGGATGGGAGTAGAAATAAGCA